ATTATTGGAATGAAAATGGCTTGGATGGAAGAATAACAATGCCGAATTGTTTACAACCGACATGGGATGACAAAATGGCGCCGAATTGGACAAAGTTGTGGTTTTACCTTGTTGATGGTTAAACAGCTAGGATCTGCTTGAAACCTTTTTAAAACTTGTTTAAAATGTGCTTGATACCATTATGTCTGAGCTGCCGTACATGTTTGAAAGGATTTCAACGAGATTGGCGATAAACAGCGGAGTAAAGTGGAGAATTTGGCCAAATACGTCCATTTGCAGGAGGTAGGTACATTTCAAATTATTATTTCGGTCACAAAGCATTAACTATTTTACAGCAAAGCAGTGATAATATACTTAAATAAGTACCAATTATGTTTCTATAAAAAAGATTTAGGAAAAAAGGTAATGTAGGTCCACTGCTGTTTATCTGAATTTGTAAGTCACAAATTGACGTTTGACTATGAGTATTGCATGGTCATTTTCTTGTGAAATATCAGTGCTAGGCATTTCACACTTACCAATGACCACCCCTAAAAGCACCATCTCTGAACCATATAAGCACCTCAGAATAGCTAAAGCTTTTATGGTTTGGTAGATAGCACTATGGCGAGAGCGTCGTTTTTGGTTGTGGTCAGTTTTGGACGTTTCGCCCCGGATTGGGGTTCGGGCAGCGTTACCATGTCGACCGTCATGGTCAACTTGCCCTAAAACAGTTGCGATTATCTGTCCTAAATGAAATGCATACAAACTCGTATACAGGTCCTAGACTATAAATCCAGAGTAGTCGGTCCCGAGATTAATTAATTTTAAGGAAGCATTTGTCTCCGAACAAACTCCTCCCCCCAAAAACCGTCTGCTACATAATGGTAGCGGTGCTAAACTTTGGCACGAACACCGCAATTTCGAGCGTCTTGTTTTTTATGATAATCCATCATCATCCAACAACGGCGGTCCCGGGTCCACACAAAACACTGTTTCCCTCGGTCTCACTGTTTCCTTCGGTCTCACTGTTCCCTTTTTTTTAGGTAAAACGAAAAACTATAAGTTCTTGTATTATATACTAAGCATTGTATAAGTTCTTGTATTATATACTAAGCATTAAGTTCTTGTATTATATACTATAAGCATTATATAAGTTCTTGTATTATATACTCAAGCCTGGCGCACACGATGCGATTTTAGTCGGCCGATAAAAATCGTTTGACATACCGATATACATCGGTATACTCCACACACGATTATGAAAAAAATATGCTCCCTGAACTGTAGCCGCCATGCATGTTGCCAAATAAATACAAGCACGTGATCACAGCATAAAATCTGATTGGTTATACTTAAAATTCCACCGATAAAAATCGTATAATATCAAAACGTTTTGATGTTGTCCGATTAAAATCGAGCAACAAAAATCGGTTAAAAATGACACCGCACACACAACGATTTTGTAAGTTTTAGTCAAACGATTTTTATCGGCCGACTAAAATCGCATCGTGTGCGCCAGGCTTAAGCATTATATAAGTTCTTGTATTATATACTATAAGCATTATATAAGTTCTTGTACTATGTACTAAGCAATATATATAAGTTCTTGTATACTAAGAATTATTTATATAGTAGACCTAAACGGTACACCCTCCGGCAGGAATCGACTCTGCGATTCCGGTTAATGCTGGGCAACTGGACTCTGTACCTTAATAGTAAGAGCGCCGGCTGTACCGGAATTGCAGGGCCGCAAGTTCGAGCCTCGTACTCAGGCTAATGTAGCTACGGTCAGTTCTATCGAGCGTGCATGATGCTCAAAATCTTGATATTTTTAATGCGTTTTTAATTTTGTGGCGTCATTTTATGCTGCCAATGTTTTAAAAGAACTCTCTGATGTCACTAATATAATCCACTAGGAGGCACCCAACCACTTTTTCCTTTTTCATCGATTCTCGGCCTTACACTACCGTGTATGTTAATGCAGTGGTTGTGATATGTCTTTAAGTATTTACACGGATTGAGAAGTTTCTTTTTCATCTGGTTTTTTAATACCCAAAGCAGTCTATTTTCGGCTCCGTAGACATTCATCTCGTAATCCAACTCCGACAGAATTGACTCTTTTAAACGTTGTGTAAGCACAAATATATAGGCATCGTGTGAACCGATGTAGCCCGTTCCACAATACCCACGTTTTCCACCCATATTACACCTCTGTTCCGGCCGTCCACTTCTCGTTAAGACGTAGGATACATTTTGTGTTACTAAAAATGTCTTATTTAATTTTTCAAATCCTTCCCCAATATAGATATCCATATTCATCATAATCACAACCTGATTTTTAAGTCTGTCGTTTGCATAATCAAAGAAGTCTCTGTATCTAGGAGACGCCTTGACGTGATGTAGAAATATTTTGTGTTTGTTATGCAAATTAAGTTCGTGCAATCTTTGTTCGGCTGATGGCTGATTAACGAGCAGATGCACAGCCGTAACTAAAGGATGGTCAAGGTTTCTCTGTAACGTTTCTTCTACTTCTTCCTGTCTTTGCATTAATCTGGTTTTGTTCCTTTCTGTTTGATTTTCGTTCCAAGGTTTTTCAGTCATCACTGGATAGTTTGTGATGACATGGATTTCCAATTCTTGTTTATCCGGTAGGAATGCATAACGCTCATTTAAAGTAGGTTTTAGGTGGATAAAACAATAAAAAAAGACAAACGTCGTCACCGAAACCAAACAAAAAATGTAGAGTTGTTTCCGTTCAATGATCGTCATAATGCAAGCAGTTTCATTTGACAGGTATTAATCCACAGTTCAGCCCACAACCTTCTAACTTTAAGCACGATCAGAAAGCTTGCTCATCTTACCAGAGCATGCGCAGATTGTACATGCTGTCGTGTACTGAATATTTGTATAAGGCGAACTACTAAATTATTTCAAGATAAAGTCGCAACGTTTTTGATTTATTGATAGAATTTTTTAAGGTTAAAGAAAGGCTAAAGGCCCCAAAGATGAATCAAGAATAATAAAGAACACTTAAAATTTATAGAGAAAAGTGAAGCAAAACAAAAAGCGCGGGAAGATGCCAATCAACCATGAATACTCAGCGACATGGCCAATCAACTGCTAAACCTGTACAAGCTGTGTTGGGCCCATTATTATTTATCATTTATGTAAATGACATGCCTTCGTGTATGAAACATTGCAATGTATCGTTGTATGCTGATGACACGGTTATTTATTTTTCTTCTTTTGATGTATCAGACATTGAAAGTACATTGAACTCCGAACTAGCAAACTTATGTCGATGGCTTAACGAAAATCTTCTAACAATAAATTAAGCTATAGATGCACGTTTGTTGTCTTTGGAAGTCAACAAAAGTTATCAAAAATACACCAAATATCATTGGAAATTAATGAATGCCAAGTTGATGATGAGGATTCATGCACAAAAACGTGACTTGGTTCGAACATATTGGAGACCTTTACGATGTGGCACGGGAACGTGACGACGACGGCTATTCATACAATGAGATTTATAATATTTAAGAACAAAAATGAATAATTAATATCCCACGGTCTGTTTACAACGGGAAACTACAGACTTTTACGTCTTCGATAAAACGCCTGCATTTCAAGGCGCGAGAAGTGATATACTGAGCAAATTAGCTCGGTACTACGGTAGAACGAGGCAGGACCATTACGTAACGGACCATGGTTGAGAAAAAAGATGACGGAAAACGTTTGTTTTGCAAAGGTTTTGAGGGAATTTTATCGAAAATCCTTTCCCCGAAGAACAAAAAAGACTATACTAAATATGATCCGAAGACGTGTAATGGTATATAGGGAGCAAAATTTAAACTGTATTTCAATGAAGTAAATCTGCTATTACTTGCCACAAAATGTGACACGAAGACAGACGGAATAGCAGAGCACAATATTTGTGCATATTACAAGCAAAACAGATGAATTTTCAGCCGCTTGTAGTTACTTAAACATATATTTTCCTCGCCTGTTAAGTATTTTTTGTCTAAAATGTGATTCTATGTTTATAGCAGCAATATTTTAAGCCCCCCCCCCCTTAAATGTTCTATTTGTGTGCTTCGACATTTTCCACCTAAATGCTAAAACAACTTTCCTTATAGCTCCTGAGTTTTTCGATAAATTTTAAATGTTAAATTTTGTCTATGCATTTCAAGTGATTGTATTGTTTTTCATACTTACTTTGTCATGTATTCCATCGATTTCAACGACATTAGGATTGCTTTGCGTGCATTTTATACCACATTTGAAATTATCAAAACTTCTCTTGTATTTTCCTTAGTATCATGATTGTTTTTTGGCCTGTTTTAATATTATATTTTGCCTTTTTAAAGCTATCGTACTTAATTTTGTGACGTCATAGTTAAAACAATCTATTTATGCTGGCATAGCGCATTCACTCATTTATGTCACTTATATAATCCACTAGGAGGCACCCAACCACTTTTCCCGTTTTCATTAATTCTTCGCCTTATACTGCTGTGTATGTCAACGCAGTGGTTGTGATATGTTCTTAAGTATCTACACGGATTGAGCAGTTTCTTTTTCATCTGATTCTTCAAAACCCAAAGCAGTCTATTGTCCCCTCCGTAGAGATGCATCTCGTAATCTAACTGCGACAGAATTGACTCTTTTAAACGTTGTGTAAGCACAAATATATAAACATCGTGTGAACCGATGTAGCCTGTTTCACAATACCCACGTTTTCCATCCATATTGCACCTCTGTTCCCGCCGTCCACTTCTTGTTAAGGCGTAAGATACATTTTGTTTTACTAAAAATGTCTTATTTAATTTTTCAAATCCTTCCCCAATATAGATATCCATATTCATCACAATCACAACCTGATTTTTAAGTCTGTCGTTTGCATAATCAAAGAAGTCTCTGTATGTTGGCAACGCCTTGACGCGATGTAGAAATACTTTCTGCTTGTTATGCAAATTAAGTTCGTGCAATCTTTGTTCGGCTAATGGCTGATTAACGAGCAGATGCACAGCCGTAACTAATGGATGGTTAAGATTTCTCTGTAATGTTTCTTCTACTTCTTCCTGTCTTTGCCACAATCTGGTTTTGTTCCTTTCTGTTTGATTTTCGTTCCAAGGTTTTTCAGTCATCACTGGATAGTTTGTGATGACATGGATTTCCAATTCTTGTTTATCAGGTAGAAATGCATAACGCTCATTTAAAGTACGTTTTAGGTGCATAAAACTACAATAAAAGACAAACATCGTCACCGAAACCAAGCAAACAATGTAGAGTAGTTTACGTTTAGTGATCAGCATGATTCAAACAGTTGCATTTACCAGGCAATAATAATAATACGTACTTCAGCGCACAACCTTCCACGTTTAAGCGCGATCAGAAATTGCGGCGACAAATTGACAGCTAAGATGAGCTTGTTCATCTTACCTGGGGCAGATTGTACATGCTGACGTGTACTGAATATTAATGAGGCGAACTACATGCACTAATTATTTCAATACAAAGTTCTGTTCTTGATTTGTTGAAAAAGCCCCCAAAACAATATAAGATGACTCAAGAATAATGAAGAAAACTTAAAATGTATAATTTAGATAGATCAAAATAAAGCAAAACAAAAAGTGGGCGAAATTTTTTTGACTGAGCCCACGATGCCAAGCAATGAATACTCAGCGACACGGTCATTTTTCTGTGCAATGACTGGTCGCGAAATTCTCATTAGAGAGCTATAGATGTTCCTACGAGTACGACTACGAGATTCGTTTGGATACGTCATATTCTTACGCCATCTTTTTACCCAATCATGTACTGACGTCTGATATATCTCGCAACCATGGGTAAATTGACAACGGCATTTTTGAAAAATCTCGTAGTAAAGCCTTGGGAAACTAGGAAACATTGTTGCGGAGACATTGTGATTCGCCATGTTTCCTCAAGTGTTTCTGTGTTTGCCTACCCGTAGAAACATCGTTGCAGAAACACAATTTGCTTCCCGAGAAGCAGAAATGTTTCCTATCAAATTCAGAAACATTTCATGTTTCCAAGTGCGATTTTTGTTGCGGAAACATTGTTTCCTAGTGTTTGCCCACCTTGGGAAACATGGCGAAATATTGGCAGGAAACAATGACGTTTCCGCAACAATGTTTCCTAGTTTTCCCAAGGCTTAAAGCAAGCTTCAACTGCGTACGAGATTATACGGCGTGCGTACATAATGGCGTAAGAAGATGACGAGCATGTGCAAATATAACGAATCTCGTAGTAAAATTTCACTTCCGAACAAAAACAAAATGGCTTTCCCGTTTCGTTCCGCGGTTACATGCAGACGAGCAATTTTTTGTACTAAACGAAGTTGCGGTTCCGCCAAACACGAAGAAAGCCACAAAGGTTTGTTTAACAGTGTGTAGAGGTACTCTTTAAAGCTATTTCTAATGAATACTAAAAGCGTGTAAATACTGTTTTGTTTTACAACAATTACGGGAGCTGAAAAACAAATTGTTTTAATTTAAAATAATACTTAAAAACAATTATCCACCTCAGTGTCGGTGAATAGTTGTTAATTATCCGCCATCTAAGCAATAAGCAGCATAAGTAATAAGCAGCATAGTAATAAGCAGTATATGTCGTGAACATCTTAACATATATTTCAGATTTGTCCCACACACTCAAATATACGACATTCAAATTTAAATGCAAAACAGAAAGTTTGAAAATTTGTGGTCGCAGGGGTATCCTCAACAACGTTGTCATTCTGAATACACCGTAAAACTAAGATTTTCAAGTCATTGGAGCAACGTGAATGCTTGTTGCGACGTTGGAGGAGTTACATAAAATCTGTCTCATAGCAGACACTGGATCGTTTTCCCGAACTTACCGCTTCTAAAGTTATTTTAAAAAGCTTCAATTTATTGCAGTAATCGAGCTCCTTAGCTCCCAATCTTGAGCTGAATGGAGACTGCGTCGTCGTGTTTGCTCGTCGTCTTTTGTAAATCCGTCTAATATATATTAGAGCGGGGGTTTAATAGAGAAATGGGGCCATTTGTTTAAGGGAAACGTATAGTACTGTAAGTAAGAAAGCAGTCAGCTACAACGTACATAAACTTTCAACTGAAGTCTGAAAATATTTAATGAATCCACGCACAACACGTGTGCTTTTTGTTGTGAAAGTGACAACTTTAAAGAGGAAAGGTCCAAAAGGAAGCGACGCCTTATGAATTTCTTCTTTTAAAAGGCGTTATAAGGTGGGGGGTTAGTAGAGAGGTGATTACTCGAGTGTAAGAGGATCTTACATTTTTTATGACAGAAAAATAAAATCAAATCAACCTTTTCGAATCTTACCATATTGTGTTCAGCCAAGTAACGTATCGTTTCTCGTATTCCAGACGATATCATGTTAGATGTGTACCCTAAAGATATCGCACAGTTGGTTTTTTGACCTTCCTTTGGAGGCTCCTCAAATCTTCGAGATATCTAAAATATTGAAATCAACTGTTATTTTGTATAAAAGTGACTGGTGTTCTTGCAACCCTCGAAATTCAACTATTTTTGCCTCGGCAAATAATTGCCGAAGTCTTTCGATAATTTTCGAG